TTCCAGAAGGCATTTTTACACTAAATTTCAAGAAAAACATTACAAACAATGGATAAAGGATAAACTGAAAAATAATGAAGAAATCGTCATTTTTCTCCGAAAAAAGGAATTTGGATTTAAACTTTTTTTCTAGAAAACKGTCAAGCTTTTTTGATTTCTCTTTTTTTTGCAAAAATTTGGTCAGTTTGAAGTTTACTTTCAAAAAAACTTTTTCTACTTCCGCTAGAAAACAGTTCAGTGTTTTTGCTTAAATTTGTTCTTCCTGTTAATAAAAACTCAACTTTTTTAATGAACCCAAACTCTTTATTAGCCAGATGGCAGTCTTAACTGTCCCAATTAAACAAATTCTAAATGAGCGACTTGGCCTTGCTCYAAGCCAATGATCCGTCACGAAATCCGACAGGTGTTTGAAATGAAAGAAAAAAAAACTACTCACTCCTTTACTAATTCAAAAACAACTCATTTATCGAGGATTAAAAGTGTTCAAATTCAGCGACCTTCGTCGTCGTCTTCGCCCATTAACCACTCCTAATTGCAGAAGGACTGGATTGGTGGAAAGGGCCGCGGCGGCCCCCAGAAGGGCAATCCCGGCCAAGGGTATCAGCAGGDCTTTCAGCGCCAAAGCCTGAAACTTTTCCTGAAACTCGACTGAAAATTTGATTGTTTTGACTCACGTTGTGGCCATGGCCGTGGTCATGGGCCGGCGGACCATAGCCAAACCCATGGCCATTTGGGGTGTACAACCCATACGAGCCATGTCCTGAGGGATAACTGGGGTAATGGTGGCTCAAAACGGGAACATAGCCGGGGTTTGAAACAGTTTCAGCTTCGTAATAGCCTAAACAAAGAAATCAACTAAATAATTTCATTTWMTTKGGGTGGTAACCTGAGGGATATTGGGGTTTGGTGTAGGTCCCATGGGTGTCGTAAAGACCACGTTTTTTAGGGTCGGTTTTCTCCTCAGGGTTGGCGGCTCTGCGGTCCTCATCYGTGATCAAATTCTACAAAATTAATTGTTTTTTTACAAAAATAGATTTTTGCAAATTTGACATAATTTTTCCAAACTTACAAAATGCTTTTGAGCTTTAAATTTTGACTAAAATATAAGAAACAAGTAGTAAGTAAGTATCTACAATTAATAAGTAGGTATGTTACATATACAATTTTTTCTAACATTTTAAGACTAGGAAGTTCGAAAAAATCAGTTATACATTCTGGGTGGAAAAAAATAGTTTTCATGCACTTCTTTTTTAGTGTGTCAAAAATTTTTGCAAAATTTTGAAAACTCATTTTCAGTGTTAATAATACAAAAGTCGATTTTAGAACGTTGACAAACAGGGTTTTGCTAGATTTTACTTAAAAGTGATAAATTTTCAACTTATCATGTTTTTGTTTTGTATTTTGTGGTTAAACTAATTTACTAAGAAAAACCAAAAAAACTAAATTAGTGTGTTTTACTTTTTGTAATTTCCAAATTTACAAAATGCACTTCTACTTTAAATTTCAACTAAAATGCACGAAAAAGGTATAGATAATGTATAAAAAATAGAATGAAAAGCAATGAATTTTTACTCTCAAAAATATTTTCGTTTCAAACTTTTTGTACTTTCGCTGGAAAACAGTTCAGTATTTTTGTTTTTTCCTTTCTTTTTTGCAAAATTTTGAATTCATGTCGAATTCTGCTAATAATTTTAGTGTTAATAATAAAAAAGTTGATTATCAAGGCTTTACAGTTTGACACAGTTTTAGTGCCTTAAATCTAAACTAAACTAAAAATTATCAAATTTTTTATTTGGAGATTGATTCTTTGTTACTTTTGTGATTAATTCTCTTTTCTTT